CCTCCAGTGGCAGCACCTGTATTCTCCTTGGTAGCACTGGTTGGTGGAGGCTTGAGCGGGGAGTTGACCGAAGCGGAAAATAACTATACTATTCAGCAATGGCACTTTCCAACATGAATCAAAGGGCGATCTTCAGGTGTTCAGAACCAAAGGGGCACACAAAGACAAGACCAACCTCTTTCTCATCATCAGTCATATCCACTAGGCCCAGAGGCTCAACCTGCCCGCCGTGATCCCAACAAATCTCAGGTCCCGAGGGATTATCCTTGGAATCCTCTCGCTTTCCCCATGCTCCGTTGGTGGGAGGAGTGTCCACGTGAGGGTTCCAGTCGGCGACAAAGTAATCCGCAACGTTTTTGCCTAGAGCACCCGACTCACGCTGAGCTTTATAGAGACTCAACAGTTGTTCTTTGGAATAACGATTCTCCCCGGCCCCGTTGCGGAGTGCGCTGGATTGATTTGAGGTCATGTGTGGGTGAGTATAGGCACCGACCGTCGGATGCGTAGCAGATGTAGTTTGAGAGATGTCTCGCGTTTGGGAGGGGTTCGTTGCGACTGATGGACGGCGGAAAGTCTGTGTTGCTCCATTCATGCGAGTTCGAGACCTGGGAAAGCAAGGGTATCAGTTGTCAAAGAAAGTCTCAGGTTAGGTAAGGACACGTCCGCGGGAAGAGGGATAGAGAAAGAAAACATATGAAAATGTGTATTGGTAGGGAATGCTCAGAGAACATAAGCCATGATTGCATACCATTCTCCACCGGCAGTTCCGTCACCTCTCCTGCTGGAAGCGTCCTGAGTATTGCCAGCAGCGGCCGAAGCAAAACTCGAAGGAAGTGGCGTAGGCATTATGGGAACAATGGCTGACTGATGAAGGTAAATCACCGGTTCAGCGAAGAAGAGGGAGTCAAGTCAAGACAAAACTCGTTCGCGTGAGAGAGTTGGTCCTCAGTGTGTTCTGGTGGCGGATTGGGAAAGTTGGAAGGGAACGTTTGCGTGGGAGAACGACGCACGACACGAGAGCAAAAGAGTAGGTAGCTAGAAGAAGACTAGTAGATCAGTAACCGACCGGAGAAGCTGTAACAAGCTGTATTAGAGGTCACACTTGAGGAAGCTGTTGACACAAACCTTTCTCTTTTTAGAATGAGGGAGGCTGTTTATTCCTTGGGCAGACGATCCAGGTCAAGATCAGGAAGATCAAGTAAAGTCGCAGAGAGTCTCAAGGTGGAAGTTCCTGGCTGTGAAAAATGGACGAGGCGGCGGGCGAATGGCAGGCAGCGCGTGGAATTATCACACGGTTCTAACAGTCTGGGGGCTTGGGCTGTTTTCGCTGCCAGCCACTTTTACGCGGTTTTACCATACAGGGCATCCACAAACGCACAAAGAATGGGTACCTTACCACCTTACAGGTACCCTACCTACTTTCCTACCTACCTAGGTCAGAAGTATCAAGTCAATTAGAAAACATTGTGAGGAGACGTGTCTGTAGGACAAGCGTGAGATCATAATTGACTCGTATAATCTATCATATGATATGATGATTATGATTGATTAGATTTCATCTCAGGAACATCAGCGTCAGAGGTATCTATCCACCAGCTCATCGGTGTATGGCATGAGTAAACGACTTTCCACAGTGCGTGGGCATAACCCCTTCAGACAAACCTACATTGTCCTACTGCCACGTCCATCGCATCAATGGTGCTGTCAAACGTCGCCTTTAATTTCAGTCTGTATGAACGCCTCAAGATGGCTGGACTCCCATGAAGATGCAATATTTTGTTTGTTTGCTAGAACAAAGGGTGTGGAGGGGGAAGAGTGTATTTATGGCGCATCATTCTACTCAGATGCAAAGGGATGCAAGGCATGAAAGGCAAGGTGGATGGCATTTACCGGTCATACACCCAACATGCCTTGCCTCACCATCACCAACCTCCGCGTCTGATGTTGAAGCCTCAGGCACCGGTTATCCTCATGGCAGAGTCTTTGTCTAGCAGCAGCCATCAGTCAATCATGGATATCGCTCTGTTTGTCTGTTTGTCTGTTGCTGAAAGACTCTGTAGCATGGCCGTCTCCACAACTCCCATACCAGTCTGGATATATATCTCAAGCATGCTCCTAAGCCAAAGAGCAAATCTCTCCACCCCAACACATTGGCTGTCCCCAAGATGAAGCAAGAAAAGACCTCTATGCCATATGCCTGGTACTGGCACGGCAAACCCCTCCGGACTGGTCTTGCCCAGGGAGAGAAGATCGGACCCGTCTGTACCGGATCACACATCCTCGAGACCTCCGACCACTGTGCGCCTGGTCGACCATGCTGTCCTCCAAATCTCCAGGACAAACCATCCTGTCCATGCGGACACGGACATGGACACGGTAACAACACCGAAAGCCACCACTGGATCCCAGAGCCGCCGCAGCAGAACCCAAACTGCTGCTCTCCTGGAGTGCAACAGCCAAGACATTGCGGTCCTGAAGGTCAACAGGATCAGATCCCTCGCTGCTCCGCCCCAGCTTTCACCTGTCAAGACTGTCCATGCGACACTCTCCGTCCAGAGCCCTACTCTCTAGACAGATCCTGCACATGCACAGCCGAAAGCACTTGTCTTCCGGGAGATCCATACTGCCAGACCCCTCAAGACACCCCGTACCCAGCAAGCAGATGTAAATTCTGCCCGCCGTCGTTCCCTCATTGCGGCGACTCATCGAGAACGAAGACCTATCATCAGGCTACACCAGTAAAGTGTCAACAGAGCTTTACTCGCTTCGAGACCTCCGACCGCTTGGACTGCTGCGAGGATACCTTTTTCAGCAAGTGCGAGTATTCCACCGAGGAGTCGATGGAGACGGGTCACGGCCACGACGCGGACTTTGAGACGAGGTCTTATCATCGCCGTCGTCCCTGGGTGAATCGTCAGCTACATCGCAAGTATTAGTTTGAAGTCAGTCGCCATGATCTCCTCAGGGTCAGTGCAAGAGCGAAGGCGATTTGTGAGGTTGGCAACCAATTTAGAACCTATGTAGGGTCCTCCGTAAACACCTGAATACATGGAGATACTTTTCAATTAAGCTCAGCGATAGCAAGATATGAAAAGCTTAGTTCTACCTTTTGATTATTCTGTTCCAGGTCACACTTAGTCATAGCCTACAGCTATGTTGGTGTTTGAAAATAAATATTGACTCATCCTAACCGAAGTTTTCAAGATAGCATAGCTACTGTATACCACTCGCAAATCGATAGTGTCATCATGCAAATAAAGATCATATCATCGCTTCAATTTGATGGTGATACTCATTTGTCGAATATCAAATGGCTTCGCGCACATAGATCACCCGCAACTCCGTCCAGCCTCGGTTATCGATAACGGCTGTCATCATTGTCATCCCCGCACGGATTACTGATCATCGATGTGCGTTGGGGTAGAATTTCCAGACCTCAAATTTCCAATTCTCTCTCTCCATCGCTGTCAATTATACGTACTGAACTGGAAGACCCTCATAATACTGTCACAATGTCGAAAGCAATCTTCATGTCCCAGGTCGATGGCAAACCCGGCCAAGTCTACTACCCCCTCTCGGTCCAGACATTGCCTATGCCGACACCCCAGGGGCGCGAACTCCTGATAAAAATGACTGCGGCCTCACTCAATCATCGTGATGTTTTCCTGCGGCAACATTTATACCCCGGCGCCACTTTTGATGTTCCCCTTGGGGCAGACGGGGTAGGAGTGGTTGTCGGCACCGGCCCCGATGTGACAAATCCCGAACGGTGGCAGGGCAAGCGAGTGATTTTGAACCCCGGGACGGGCTGGAACGATTCTCCGGATGGGCCTGAAGATCCCAAGGGCTATCGCATTATGGGGGGAACAAAGGTCTACAACAAGGGTACACTGCAAGAATACCTCACCATTGAAGAGTCCGAGGTGGAAGAAGCTCCAGAGCATCTGTCGGATGCGGAAGCCGCTGCGTTGCCATTGACTGGATTGACGGGATGGAGAGCCTTGGTGGTCAAGGCGGGTGAAAGGAATTCTGGCAAAGGCGCGGCTGTCTTGATCACGGGGATTGGCGGTGGTGTTGCGCTGATTGCTCTCCGTTTCGCAGTGGCAAGGGGTGCGGATGTCTATGTGACGAGTTCGAGCGAGGAGAAGATTCAAAAAGCCGTAGCACTGGGCGCGAGAGGGGGTGTGAGCTACAAGGAGGATGGATGGGAGAAGAAGCTTCTGGGTATGCTTCCCAGCGGCAAGCGGAACTTTGACGCCATTATCGACGGTGCAGGTGGTGACTCTGTCGAGAAGGCAACCAAGTTGCTCAAGGTATGACGTCCAACTGAGCGCCCACCCTTAAGCCCGACTGACTGAGACAGGCTGGTGGTGTCCTCTCCGTTTATGGAATGACCGTGTCCCCCAAGATGCCTTTCCTGATGCAGGCCGTTTTAAAGAACATTGACGTCCGTGGCTCTACCATGGGCTCTCGCAAGGAGTTCAAAGAGATGGTTGATTTCGTCAAGGCGAACAAGATTCATCCAGTGGTTTCTCGCGTTGTGCAGACCGACTTGGGCGATATCGAGGGACTTGACAGTTTATTCCAGGATATGAAAGAAGGAAAGCAATTCGGGAAGCTGGTAATCGAGTTCGGAAAGTCCTCAGGAAGCAAGCTATAATCTGGCTTCAGAAGTCTTTGAGGCAACTTCTCTAACTATGTTAGATCACGGGCACTAAAACATAGACGCAATATAGTACATAGCTCATGAATAATGATCTTTTAACTGTGCTTTCCACGTACTGAGTGGGTGGCTCTTTCCTTGGTGGCTCCATCACAATTGCTGCACTATAGCTAGCAGGACACATCATAGAGACATGAGAGTTCATCAACTTCACAAGCTCAGCGTACATGAGCGACAGACAATCATTCCTTTAACGGCAGCTTATCTTGAACAGTCTAGTCATTCATTCCTTAGCATCTATCACAGTAAGAAGACACCGAGCGCCAAGCGAGTCACCATGAGTATCAGACTCCAACCATACGAGCCCAGCATGTCCCCCGATTTATCCATCTCACAGTCAACCTTGGACTCCGAATCTTCTCCCTCATCAGTCGAGGTGAGTCAAGCCCGCGCAAGACGGAATCCATGGACTGATATCAGATCTCCTTCGCCAGAGATACTCCGCAGCGCTGGACGCCCTGAACGCCAGCAACCACAACCTCGAATACAAGATCGCCAAGATCCAAGCACGCAATCTGCGCCTCAAGCTCGACCTGATGAGACTCCAACGTCACGTCACATCCTTCCATCACGATCTCCTGGCCACATGGGAAGCCGACATCCTGACGAGCCTTATCGAGGTGGTTTACCAACGACAAGGTCGGAAGCTACACCGGGGACACATCAGCGACCTAAGAAGGCTCGATCGGAAGGCTCTATCGGCGATGTATACCACGGCAGCGGGGAGAATCGGCAGGAGGGCACTTAGGAGTACATTCGGTCTATCACAGCATTATTGGTTAGCATTGCAGAAGTATGATGAGGTGTGTGAACTCGGTTTCATGATGTCTGTTGCTCTGTCTGACTGAGTAGATTGCGCATCTGCGGAGTACAAGTCCTTCTCGTACGGAGGGTACGTTTGCCCGATGGTTGATGACGGAAAGGGAGACGAATCCTAAACGAGCGGGTTTCTGGGCCAGATTGTTTCCTGTCTGTTATGGCAGGACTGTGGAAGAGAGCTCGAAGATGGTATGAGGATGGATTCTTGGGGTCAGGAGGATATTGAGTGTAGCTGATGTGGATGAGCCTTTCCTTTTGATGCAGTAGATAGGTAGAGAGTATTGCTATGTTTATTTACAGGCTCTGTTGGGTTGCATTGATTCTCAGCTGATGTCTAAAATGAGTCGCCGATAGGAGTCAGTCAAACCAGATTATGGCGAGCGTGGCAGGTGGAGTCAAGCTCTTCCTAAAGGACTGTCCAAAGTCCAGGCAGTAGGATAATCTGCAGAACTACGACTTGTAGATGGTCGTGAGTAGTTGTAGTAGTATATTCTCAACAATTCAAAATAGCTTTATTATCATCCATTCCAGAGCCCGAAAAGCAGCTTGCTGAAAGCATGCAACTGCCAGGCAGCACATGCTGAAAACCTGGGAAGATTCTCGCTGGAAACACCCTGGGACCCCATATTCTACGCACTCAAGCCGTGAGCGACAGGGAACTGACGGACAGCCTGCTATTCTGGGCAGGCAAATGTGAAACTAGTGCATGGCGGTTGGGCCTTGTGAACTCCATCCATTCGCCGATTGTCAAATCACCATTCATGCTCCCGGAAGGTTGAGGAAGATGGTCCGTGGCTATTGAGTGCGGTGTGAATGAGCCTGATACCTGGTACGTTAGCTGATGTTATTCTGTCTCAAGTATCTCTTGCAAGATAGTCGCTGGATGATAGGTGTCGTCACTCAGGTACCGTTGTGGGCTTGGAGCTCGGGCAATACCTGGTGGAATAGAGTACGGCATTGTAGGCATCTCTATCTCATTGTGAGCAGTGCAGTCAGCACTATAAGTGAGGTAACTTGAAATACACCACAGGAATTGTCCAGCAGATGGCTCCATCCTGCCGAGGTGGCTGGCTGTATATCCGGACGAAAATAAACTGAACAAATCGACAGAGCTTGGAGTTGACGCTGAATAACCCCAATCGGCGAATGAAGACATGTAGACGAGCCATGGATGCAAATTGTAGACAGATGGCTACCAGAAACCGGACGTGGTTGAGACTGGCGTGGGACGCGGGCTTTATTTAGTATACGCGACTCAGACATTGTGTCGTTAGCGGCAGGGTGATCCTATTCGTAGACACGGACACCTAAGACGTGGTAAGCGTTGATTCAGCTACACATGACAGTGCAGCGACACAGTTGGCAGCAGATAGAGCAGGTCGGGCCTATCTTATTTGATTCTGCTGCTCTGATGAAGTGTGGTTAGAAGTAGATACCGCATTGTGGTGGTTACTGTGCTGGTTAACATGCATTTCTCATCTGGCGGACGAGGTGGGCGCTGCCTGTCTGCCACTGAGCAGCCCGACGCAGCATCTGAGCACAATAATCGTCACTCGTTCTCATCAATCAATATTCAGCAGAGATACAGAGCAGGACTGCGTCTGCAGGCATATGCAGATTCTCATCCAAGTGAAGTTCCTAAACTCTGACTGGTCGGGCCATCGGGCGACTTCAAAGTCCGTTGACCAGACAGTGACGATGAATATGAAGTCATGCAGGTGAAGTAAGGTCTTGTCTTCTCAGCTATCAGCTATCCCACCGGAGTTATCATCGCACAGCTTTCCTTGGGAGAGATCGACGGTGGGCTCCGCTTGGATGGGTGGCTATGCATCGTTGCTAGGAGTCAGTGAGCGGGAAGGGTGAAACATTTTCTGTTTTCGATTAGGGTTTGGCGAAGATCAGACAACCAGGGCACCGTGAGATGAGATGGAAGGAATCAAGTCAAAGTCTGATAGCATCAGCAAGTGTATGCCAACGTCAGTGTCAACACTACACAACGCAACGCAATTGCAACGTGTTGGTTGACTGTTGGATTAACCAACCTTGGGCGAGAAGCCAGGAGTAACCAGACAATTGAGTTTTTGTTCCATTTCCCCTGGCTATCTGCTCTCTAGATAATTTCCAAGCTTCGACTATCATCAACCTGCCATGCTCCTGCATTAGTCCAGATGCTCCGGACTTGCACCTGCACCAGCACTTGCATAACGGTCCTGAGCGCAACTATACTTCGTAGCAATGCACGAATAGTGAGGAACTTTACAGTAGTCCAGTCAAGCCGTCGTTATATCTCTAGTTAGTGACTATGCACAGAAGACTACACCTGCATTCTGTATTATGAGACCGAAGGTAAGGGTCCAGTTTCTACCGGCCTCATTTCGGATCGTGCTGATTAGATGCCGAAGCAAGGATCCAGGGTGCGCTGGCGGGGCATGGCATGCATGCCCTGCGTCTCCGACGGGATGCAAATCCTTCCTTGCGAATTGCGACTCCTGGACTCCCCTTTCATCTATTCCGAACCGGCTAATATCAACCTTCGAAATTTGGTAGGGGAGCAATTCTGCCATGGAAGAATCCCAAATCCCGCACGGGTGAGAGGTGGTCTTGGCGGAATGATTCTACCGAAACAGTTAGTCATGTTTTCACATTATTGGTTAGGGTAGAGAGGTACTATGGACTATTAACGGGATGATAACTTTTAAGAGTAAAGCCTGCCGGTTCAACTTCTTATTGTTGATCACCAAAGTAAGCTCTTCCTTTAGTCCCACGGTTGAGCTTGATGGTGGTGGTGGTCTTAGTCTGGTACCGATCTGTACTATTCGCCGCGGCGCATATTCCTTGACATGTGTGGACTAGTCTGGTAGTACTCCGTACATGGGGTTGCAAGGCATGAGCTGAGGGATTTTCGTTTTTGAGAGCTGCTTGCGCCGCAAGGGTTCGCAAGATTAACCAGATTAGGGAAGTGAGGCTCTATCTGCATCATCTACAAAGTAGAGCAGAAGCAGAAAGTCAGTTCCTATTAGTTTGCTAGTGTTGCTGCAAATGCAATAGTATACAGATTAAAGTACCGACTGATACGGAGTACTGCAGGGATATTGCCAGGACCCAAGACTAGATACCCCATACAAAGCACTCCATAGTAATCACAATTAGATTAGGGCACCACACCACAGCATTCCACGGATCATCCGTGCTTCCAGGACCAAATCTCTGCAACAATGTTGCCCTTGAACCTTATAATTAGAAGCCTGAAAGGAAAAACCATCATCGGCAAATCAGAGGCGCTGTCCTGGTCGGTGCCGAGGCCTGTCGGAGGATGATCTTTAGGCATAGATATTAAATAGATAGCGATGGTAAAGGCATCGGAATCAACGTTGTCCCCGGGTCCGACCCAAACCGAACCGCTTAAAGTTTAGTGCCTGATCCAAGGTTAGAGGTTGATGGATGGACCCAAGTAGCTAGTTATCTAGGGATCCATCAGTGGGTATTGAGGAATCAGGAATCGCAAGTTCGCAACTAGAGGAAACGGATTTCCCCGAACATTCGCCGATGTATACTGTAGTCTGTTGGCTTGGTTTCATGCGAGAAAGAAGAAAAGGTTCAGGGTCGGAACGCACTATGACGCTATGAATAACAACGTCACTCAGTAAAGGGGACCAAAAAGCCGAGGACTCGGTAAGTACAACTGCTTTTTCAATGAACTCGTATTCGTATTGTTTCTTTCTTTTAAGGTTTCTGTAGGCTATGCTATCCTAGAACTCGTTACTCGTACCTACTACCTAGAAGGTCAAAGAGACCCAAACTTGTCTGTTACTGGAGTATTGATCGATCGACGGTACGATTATACCAGCATTATGAATAAGGTAGCTATTTCAGATGCCAGCAATAGGATCCTGTAAGCATCCACGGAGTGAATTCAGCTCTGCAATCCCTACCCGTCCCTGGCCTGAGCCGATCATAACCCGGATCCGAGAATCCTCGACGATTGTCAAATATCATCCACCGAGAAATAGGCACCCGCTTCAAGCTCAAGAGACAAGAATATCCGGACTATCTACTCCGTATCTCTCGGCGGGATAATACTGAAAGGACCTCGCTGATCGATTGATCATACTTGGGGCCGAGGCCCCACTTCAGTCGCTGAAGTACTTCGAGTTCGGTGCGAAAGCGGTAGTTAGCCCTAACAATAACAACAATCTACCGAGTTCTCCGTAATAATAACCACGTTGACCTTGGTGAATGAATGACTAGCCGTAAAGCCTCTTCCGTGCTTCAGCTAGCCTTTGAGATTGGACGGTGCCGAATTCTAGTACTTGTACTATTACTATTAGTAGGAGTTGATCAACTACTTTCAGCTCTAGCGATATTTGGTGAACGGTGCGGCGGTGGACGCTTCGAAATAGTTTCTAGCGATTTGCTGCTTGTGGTGTTAGACTGTCCACTAAGTTTCCCGCCAGTTCAGTTATTTTCCGTGAGGGACAGAGGGACAAGAAAGTCTGGGGCACGAGACTGGCAAGGTCCCAAGGTTGGAAGATCGTTTGCGATCTGCGGTTCTTATTTTTTTATTTTTTTTTTCCCTCCCAATTCCTCCCGCCTTTGCCAGTGCCAGGACTCCCACTCTAGCATGGGTCGATCTCACGAGGGGGTCATCTCATGGTGACTTCATTGTCAGCAACGCTTCGCGAGTTTCCCTGCGAGAGAGCCCCCTGCAAGAGAGCCCCCTGCAAGAGAGCCAGATCTCCCATTGCCTACAGTACTCCTTAGGCTACCTACCTCTTTGTTTTCAAGGTACATGGCCATACCAAGATTATTGTGTCAGCCACTGTATCAGCTTCTATCAAGGGCTCCTGCCACTGGTGAGCAACGTCATACTCGATTCATCCCTTCCTTGACTATTGACTTGAATCCCTGACCAGGGAAAGAAAATTTTCT